CAAATACTTTTTGATTTGAGAGTTTTTCAGTTTTTCTAGAATCTTAGCTAAAATGTAGAGTTTAGAGATCGCTCGATAATTGTTCAGTGAGGTGGGGTCTCCTCCCTTCAGCAAAGGAAAAACAAAGACTGTCTTCCAAGCGTCTGGAATGGAGTTTTGGCTTATGGACAGGTTAAAGATTAGATTTACTGGTTCTGCAATGATATGAGCGGCCAGCCTTAAGAAATAAGGTGTAAGTTCATCAGGGCCTGCAGATTTTTTTTTAGCGTTTAGACCTTTTAATAATTTATTAACCTCACTAACTGAGAATGGTGAAAATGAAAACGTGTGTTTTACTTGTAGGAGAGATGTGATTTGTAGATGTTTGGCTTAAACCAAACCATACCATACCATTTATAAAGCACTTAAAAACAGCATCAAGGCCAACTAAAGTGCTGTACACTTTTTGTGTACCAAGTGTTGTATTTATTTGTACACAAAAACAAATAATAATAATAATAATAATGATAATAATATAAAGTTTTGTGAGCTCAATCGTCCAGGTAAATAAATACAAATAAGAAATTGTCCAGATGACCTGATTTAACCTTTTTTTGCACACAGCAAATAGGTTGAACAAAGTTGCTATTTTTGTGTTAGCTGGCCGGACCAAACCTAAAACTTGACTTGGAAAACGACCTGATGCAACGATTTGTTTCTGCTAACTTTGGCTTTTCAGGCCTGAGGGTTTTATCTTTTCTTTTGAATAAAGTTGGATTTCTGGCTTGTTCAGCTAAAAGTCAGGTTTTGGGTCATGAAGGAGGATCTGTTTGAGCGGTAATCACCATGGTAACAGAGACTTTTTAAAATTTAGTCTATTACATATTTTAGCATGGCCATTTTAATCTTAATTAAAAATCTTCCCATTTGACAAGACTCTTTCAAATTTAACGCATGACATCCATCATAAGAAATAGCTGGAGAAAAAAAAGTTTAGAAACCTGAATACACACCCAGTAGCCAAATTCTTTTAGTATAAGATTCTCAAGTTAGTCTGCAGGGAGAAATAATAATCTAAAAAATGTGAAGAATGCCCAACACACCATCTGAACCACGTCAAAATGATGACGAACAACGGGCTGTGAATGGTTTTTATGTTCTATTTGGATTTGCTACACGTTACACAGTTTGAAACATATTTAATTTGTTAGTACCATTAAACAACAGCAAATATAAAAACTACAAACTTGATTTGATCAGTGAAGTGATTTTTGATATATGAAACAGTCTCAGAGCTGAAGTTTGGGATCTTTCTGTCTCAAGTTGAACAGCAGCAGGTAGTTCTGATTTAAAATGAACTCTTGTCTACATTATTTTGTCCTGATTGTAACTATGTTTTCCTGATTAAATCTTTATTGTTTTCTCTTTTGATTAAGAGTCTACAATCTGCTCTCCTTTAAGTCCAAGGGCAACCACGCAGAAAAAGCGTCAACAGTCAACTTCCCTTTCTTTAAAATTAAATCAGAAAGCAGTGGTGGGCACAGTTTTGCTAATTTGCGAACAACGAAAAAAAAAGAATTTGTTTAGCGGATTAGCATTTTGCTAACCTTTGAAACCATCCATCCATTATCTTTACCCGCTTCTTCCTTTTTGGGTCGTGGGGGTCGCTGGTGCATGTCCAGCAGTCACTGTGTGAGATGTGGGGGACACCCTGGACAGGTCTATAATTTAGAGTCACCAATCAGACTAACATGCATGTTTTTGGTCTGTGGGAGGAAACCAGAGTACCCGGAGAAAACCCACCCAGCATGGAGAGAACATGCAAACTCCACCCAGAAAGGCCCCAGACCGGGATTTGAACTGGCAACCTGCTCACTGAGAGGAAGCAGCTCTACCAACTGCGCCACCGTGCTGCCCTAACCTTTGAAACCGTTAGCAGAATTGGCTTCCGGTAAATTGTGTTTCGCCAACTTTAAGTCCCTTAACAAAATTCACAGCTTGTTCCTGTCTGTTGTGTGCATGTTTCGAAGAGTCCATTAAGCAGGCTATTGGCTAACTACGTGTACATGTGACAAGATGTGTTTAATCGACGTAGTGGGAGCAAGCTGAAGGCAGGCTGTTGACTTATTAAGTGTACACATGACAAGATGTGATTGATCGACACAGCTTCTACTGGAAGGCGAGGAAGACGTGTGACGTAGTCGTCTTAGGGGTTAGCGGTTTAGTGTTAGCTTCTGCTAATTTTTGTTAACATGTTTAGCGGTTTAGCATTAGCAAAGCTAGTTTTGTGTTAGTGGAATATGGGTTAGAGAAGCTAACATTTTGGTTAGTTGTGCCCATCACTGTCAGAAAGTCTTTGTTAAAGCAGCATCAGAACAACCATATTTTAGCATTTCAGAGACTTTTAGGTCTTGTCAAGTCATGCTCGGAGAAAAACAGCCTGTTCTAGTAACCCCTCTAGTTAATCCTGTTTTATTCTATGCAGACGAGACACAGCTTTATCTTTCAGGCTGGATGATCCAATGGTTTTAATGCAAAACTCAAACATAAACTCAGTGTTCAGAGGTTTGTTGCAGTTATAACAATGATGTTTTAGGGTTTGTTGTAAATGTTAAATACAGCAGCAATTAAAAAGGGATATGACCTTTGACCTGCATTTTATACTCTGAGCAGCAGCAATGTAAGAAGTCATTTAAAGCTGTGGGAAGGCTTTTCTGATCCATAGGTTTAAGCTGTAGCAACTGCAGTGAAATTCTTGATGTTGCTTTCTTACTTAGGGAAAACCTTTCATAAAAAACAACAACTAAAATTAAATTAAAAAAATTAACACAGTAGAGACACAAGATATGGGAAAAATGTAATATTACAAGATAAAATGCCCTTGCTTTTCAGTAAAAAATAGCATGCTTGTTTACTGTGTGGAGCAAAGATCTAAAGCCATAATATTTAGCAGTAAAGATTAATGCTGAAATCAGCATTAATACAGTTGTTTTTCACTTTTTTTTTTTTTCCCCACACGTTTTTCAATTTACTTGTGCATCTTTTATGCTATAGTCGTTCATATATCATATATGTTAATCAAATTATGACTTTTGGTTTTGGTACCATTTGACTTTTCTAGATATTAAACTTTATTGATAAATATTTTCCCAATAGAAAGAGATTTCTTCAGATTATTCTAAAAAACATTGTTATTTTTTAATCCACTTCGGTAAACTGGATATATATTTTTATCTATTTACGCTTCTTTTAAATTTTAGCAACAGCTCTGCTATGTTTAGCTAGCATTTAGCTACTTTTAGATTGCTATGGCTTCTGGCTAGCCTGTTGAAATTTTACCTAGCCTTAGCTTTATATGTTCTAGGTACCATCCATCCATCCATTATCTTTATCCGTTTATTCCATTTTGGGTCACGGGGGTCGCCGGTGCCCATGTCCAGCAATCACTGTGCGAGGGGCGGGGTACACCCTGGACGGGTCCCAAGTCCATCACAGGGCCACATAGAGACAAACAACCATTCACTCTCTCATTCACACCTAGAGACAATTTAGAGGAAACCGGAGTACCCGGAGAAAACCCACGCATGCACGGAGGGAACATGCAAACTCCACCCAGAAGGCCCCTGGACTGGGGTTTGAACCAGGGACCTGTTCGCTGAGAGGCAGCAGCTCTACCAGTTGCGCCACCGTGCTGCCCTGTTTTAGGTACTGTTTTGCTAATTTTAGCTTTTAGATGGCCTGTTGCTTACATTTAGCTTCTAGCTAGCCTTTTGATATGAGAGCTGCTTGCTTCTTTAACTTGTCTAATATAATATCCTGATGCATGCTCAATAATCCAGGTAGAAAAATCCAAAAAAGTTCAATCTGGTCCTCTGGACATAAAAAAAAAACAAAAAAAAAAACAAAAAACAAAACAAAGCAAAAAAATCTAGAAACGTTTCATCTCTCATCCAAGAGACTTCCTCAGTCTGAGGTGCTGTATTCAGCTCAGTCTCTTAAATAGCACCTTCTCAGAGTGGATCAACCAGTTTGCTGCTGACAACCAAAACCAGCTGATCACATGCTCAAGAAGGACCATCAGCCTAACAATGGGTCATTAGCACACTGATGGCTGTTTACTACTCACAGAGGGCTGAGTGATACTAGCAATCACAGCATTGTAAGAGGGGGACAGTTGAACCCGGAGGCCTCCACCCCTGTTTAATGATGGCCTCCTTTACTCCTAATAACTCCTTTACTGTCTAATATAATGCTTTTCTGGCCTTTTAGTTAGTGTTTTGCTACTTTTAGTTTTTATCCAGTCTGTTACTTACATAGTTTCTAGCAAATTTGTTTATACATTTAGCTTTCCTTTTGCTTCTAGCTCTGAGGTACCACCTTGCTTCTTTTGGCTTTAGTGTTTTGCATCTTTAACTTTTAGCAAGTGTTGCTTCCTTTAGCTTTAAGAACTCCACTTCAGCTTGTTCAGACAACTCAGTATTTTCACCTAATTTTATCAGAATTTTTTTTTTTGTAAGTTTTGAACAATATTTTTTTGTTCCTTACCGTTTCTAACATTATTTTAAATCGGCTGTTATTGTACTTTTACAACGTTAAGAACTTTCTCGTTTACTAACTGACTTTTGGAGCTACGGTTGTAAAAGTTTTTCTGATGAGTGATGCGTCTTCTGTGTCATAGACGATCTTCGTGTTGCACACGAAAGGGAAAGGAAACGCCGACTTCTCCATTCCAAAATCCCCTCTGCCTCATCTTTAGCAGCAACGAGTGTTTGGATCGATCGAGAGCTTTGAGACGTTCGGTTCTTCATTTCAGGACCTTTTGGTCGGTTTTCGACTCCCCCTTCCCGGAGAGCTCGTTTTTGGCCGTGAGGAACTAATCTTCCTTGAGCTCCTAGGCGCCAGATTTATCGAGCCCGAGTACACAAAGTTGATAAGCTAGCCACCTAGCTAACTCTTAGCTTGCAGCGCTTTTTTTGGTTTCATCTTTTGTGGGCGTCGTTTTGCATCACAGCTGGCTCTGACTACTATCCGTCATATATGAATGCTTCTTTTGGTGAAGTTAAAGGGGGTTGCTGGTAGCTGTTGTGCTCGCTTATAACCCTGCGTACTTAGCCCGGAAGCCGAGTGAAGGCCCGAGTCCAGTAGCACCAACAGCCGCCTTCGTCGTGAGTGTTTATCGCCTTGAAGTGAGAGTTGGCAGGTGAGTAAGAAACGCGTCTTAAGTGTCTGTTAAATAGGCTGAACGTTTCAGCTTATATGTGTACACTTTGCCAAGCTGTTGCTACGGTATGGAAACAAAATAGTAGCCTCGTTTTGAAACGGTTGGGGGGTTGGGGGAATCCGCGGAATCACGCCGCATTTGTTGTGTTGGTGAAAAAACACCCCCCTACGGTGAAAAGCTGCCCAGCAGTCGTGGGAAGGGTTTTGTCGGGGGGTGTTTTATTTACAAATGAGACGAAGTTAAAGCTCAAAGACCTGAGGTTTCAGTGCTCTTGTAAGAACGGTTGTTTACCGTTATTTCAGTTTGATATGTAGGCCTGATGAAGGCTATTCCAGGATGAAGCACACCCCCCCACCGGAAGATCTGCTGCTCCCACAAGCACGTATTAATGTTATTGTAGTTTGGGGCCTAATGAATACTGGGGCTGTGTTGACAATATGTTAACGATTTGACATGCTTACAAGCATGGAAAAAACACAAATTGGTGCGTTGACGCGCAGAAACGGTTTTCAGCATCAGTTACCATGGCAACGAGGTCAGGTTTAAAAAGTGACCCAGGTTGAAAATCCCAAACAGAACCTGAAGTTTTCCGGCTAAGATGCCAGTCCTAATTCGTAGTGCAGGGTACTGAACCAGAAGGTGTACTCTGCCTGCAGAGGAGCTAAACTCACCTGGAAAGTGTTTACTTTGGCACTACACATTGCAGTTTTCCTCCTGGTCAGTGGGTGTTGCTGCTCAGAAAATAGTCCCGCCGCACAGCAGGAACGGCGCAAGAAAGGTCGTACGGGACGTATATTTCCTTACATAAACACAACTCAAGTTTCGGTTTATTGGCTTTACTTTTAAACCAACTTTATTGTATGCTTAGCTCCACTCAGCTTTTGCCCTATTTGTCATATTAATAATAATACCCAACAATGTTAAGTCGGGTCCTCTAAACAGTTTCTTTTTGTTGAAACGTTTTGTATTTCATAGGCCTGTCGCGATAAACAATAAATCAATTTATCGCGGCTTTATCATTTCTTCGTGTCTCTCTTTCTACTGAAGACACTGGATGACAAAAGGCTCAACTCCGGTGTTCGTCACTGACTCCCCTCCCTTTCTCTTTCTTTTTAAAATTAATTTTAACCATCCAAAATCGTGTTTTTGGATCATTAAAAAGCAGCTAAGCTAACAGACCGACCTCTGGAAAAAACCTTTGTCTTGTCAAAGCTCCAAAAGTCACGGTTGAAACCCGTGTCTTCGTTAAAAAGTTGTATTTCTCTGCAAAAAGAAGCTGAGAACTTGTTTACTGATTTTTTTTTTTTTTTAATTAAAAGCTTTGTGTGACAAATGCTATGCTAAATGGCTCAAAACATACAGGGCGTCCACCATTTTGAAAACCGAAAAACCAAGAATGAGAGAGCCCATGTCACGTCAAGTGGCCTCCCTCCCATTTGTATTAGAGACGTGCTGCTTGCTCCATCACTATCCATCCTTCGGTTCAAACTGTCTTATATTGTCATCCAGTGGTCAAAAAAGGTACTACACAGAAATGAACCTACATTTCTTCTTAAATTTGACAATAATTAGTAATGTCAAATTTCAAACAATATTATCGTTTATCGCAATATTTTCTGAGACAATTAATCGCCCTGCAAAATTTGTTATCGTGACAGGCTTATTCATCCAAAACACTTGATCAGTCCGAGGAGCCACAATAAACTCAGTCTTCTAAATAGCCCCTTCACATAGTGGGTCAACAAATGGACACAAATGGAAATAATAATTTATTTATAAAGCCCTTTAAAACCACCACAGCTGCAACAAAGTGCTGTACATATAAAATCAAGAACATTTAAACACATACAAGAATGAAACAGTGAAATCATGAAAAGTGCTGGCTAAATATGCGTAATGTCACAAGACAAACCGCTGTGTCCTTTGATTTTTACTGTTTATTAGTAAGCACAAAGGTCTTGAAGTGTGCTTCACTTAACAGGAGTGCTTTTTCCTGCACAACAGTCCTGTCCAGCTGCCTGATGTCTGCAGTCTCGGCCGAATGTGCCGGTATTATAAGTTGCAATGTCTTTGACTTTCCAAGTTGAGTCACACACAATTATTTGTAAGGTTGAAATGCTTGTTTACTGAGCGAGAGACAAACACTTGTTGTCCTCTTCTACAGGAACGCTGGATGTTTGAACTGAAGCCTTTTTAGTATTGTCAAACGTGAGACTTGGTTCAGCTCACGAAATGTTTGGAATTTATTATGATAGTTGTCCTTTCAGGTCAGTTAAAATAAAGTGTCAAACTTTTACAGCATTAAAGTAAAACAACAATCTGATTCCTCACACAATTTTTATTGCTGGCGAGAAATTTGTACGCATCCATTATGATTTTCTGTTGTTGTTGTTGTTGTTGTTGTTGTTGTTGTTTGTTGTCCAATGTTTTCATCACTCTTTGTTAAAATTCAGGTCTCTCTTGTAAATGAGTCCCGAGACTCAATGGGGTTAACCTGTATAAATAAAGGTTGAATGAAAAAAAAAAGTTTTGTGGCAGAATAACTGAATGATGACATATATTATATCTAAAATTGCAAACAGTTTAAAATCTAAATATTCATTTAAACTAAATTCTAGATTATTAGTGAACTAAAACATAAAAAAACTTTATTATTGAGTCAACTCAAGAAGAATTTTTTGCACTGTAACCTCAAATCTTTTCGCTTTAACTTCGTCTTTGTTATTAAGAATCAAATGTTGATGTGTTCATTCGTACTCCTCTGCTCACACAGACACTCATGTTCTTGCTGCTGTTCGGTGTATTGTTTTTATGTTATTAGTGCTTAGGGTTTTTTTGGTCAATGTTTTCCTTAGTTCATAATCTTAGATTTTATTACCGTTTTTCTTTTACATTTTATTGTTGGATGTAACTGTGACCCTGTACAAAATTTAATTCCACCACATGTACCACATGGTGACAAATACAGAAACTCTGACTCTCTGAAATGTTGCCATTTTAATAGCTAAACTTAATCTCTAAAATATTGCTTTAGTGACATTTAATCAATTTATTCTCAACTAAACTAATCTCTTTCAATTCACATGATTCTTAGCATAACAAAGATTAATAATCTTAATAATAGTAATAACAATATTAAATAAATTGTGTTGTGCTCGCAAACGTGTACTTTACTTTGTGCCACTCAGGAAATTTGCAGTTTGGCTACAACAGAAAAATAAAATTTATCATGACATTAACAGATTATTAATTTGACGATGCACAGCAGGGTGTGGACTAGGAATGTGCGATATGGCATAAAATTCATATCACGATATGTATTGTGAAGGGTGGCGAAAACGATATATATCACGATATGTTTTTGGTATAAAACTTGCAATAGGAATGTAAAAAATGCAGAGGGTGTCCTTTTGCCATAATTTATTTTGAAAACTGCTATACCACAAAATAATCTCAATTAAGAAATTTAATTTACCATCATCAAACATTTAAAATTTAATAATTTCTTGATATTTTAATGATTGTTGTAGAACTGACAATATATTGTTTTGTTTATTTATTCGTCATAAAAAATCTCATGTTATTTAGCCTGTCGTACTAAAATTATTAGTGTTATGTGTTGGAAACGCACATTTTGTTCTTAATTACAGTACTCCTCGTCAAAAATATGTCCCATTAGTTGATAAAGATCCTCCTCTTCATCAGCCTGATGTTGATGAAGCAGCACCACTTTGCCTTTACAGCAGAGGAAGGCAACTCCTCGCCTCAGATGAAGCTTGTATGAGTTATGAAGAAACAAATGTAGGTACTTGTGTTTGAGCAGTTGTAACGTTTTTATAAGAATTGTTTTTCTGGGAGAAACGTTTTTTTTCTTCTGAGGTTGTTCAGAAAACGAAGGGTTTCTGATTTAATGATGCCTGTTTGTGACAGCGGCAATCCACCGGCTAAAAATAAGCTCACTGGATTGCTGTTGGATTTTAAAATTTATTTTGGAGAATCATTGAGTCATAAATCACATCCTGTGAGTACGCTGAAGGAAAACAATTGTGTGGAAAAAGGCAGCGGGGGGAGGATGTTTTGGGTCAGACCTCGTCTAGACGCTAAGCCTGACTCCATGCTCTTCGTGTTTTGCTCAGGGTTTTTACGTTTCCTCAAGTCATATTACGTCAAAGACGATGTTTATAAAGGGTTTTCTTTTACGCTACATTGTGTTATGTAGATTGTGCTGTAAAAAGGTTTGAACTTGGTTTAAAATCCATTCATTGTTGTTAAAGTAATTAAGGTTTAAATTTTAGCTACAGGATGGTAAACTGCTGAAGATTTAATTTTTGGTTCAGTAGCTTTAACGTTTAAGCTAAAACTTTATTTTTTGGTCATATTCTCCACATTTATGACCTAGCTATATAATACGTTGCTTCAGCCTTTCCTGTGCTTGTCCATCAGAATCAGGATTGCTTCATGAATGAACGTGAGATGCGGAACCGGAGAGCACTATTGTCATTTGTGTGGTTCACCTGGTGCACATGTGCGTTTCCTGGCATTTCACTTATTGGCATTCACTTTACAAAATCTTGTGATTCACGTTTGGGCTAGCATTACGCCGTCCTACTGCCAGACACAATAAAAATCTGTCTTAAAAATCACTATGGAACACATTTGTTTTAGGTTTTCTTATAGTAAGTTTACTTCTAGAAACATGACAGATTATTTCTTTCAAATTCCTGTCTTGGGTTTTAATACTCTTAAAATTTTTTCGTACAATTTATTTTTAGCACCACATATTAAAAACCAGATTAGAAGCAAAGGTTTTCCTGTAACGTATTTTATTGAATATGTTCCCAAACTTTAGATATCGGCGCTTAAATTATACATATATTGAAAAAGGTCGTCTTTCTTCATCGTGTCATTGAAATCAACAAACATGTAGAGCAAAAGGATGGTGTGACAGTAAAGATAGTGTTTGTTATCAGTGATCAGGATGTATTGGTGCTGGTTAAACAAAACCTTCAGGCAAAAGCGTTACATCAATTTATTTAGGTTATGTCATTATTTGAATTAAAACTTGTGCAGCCACTAAAATAAAAATACACCAGGATGGCCAAAAACAGTCTTTGCTGACAAGACCAGGCTTTGTGCTGTCATCTAGTTACTGACCAAAAATATCTGAAGGGAAAAAACTAAACTCAGTCAAAACACCCAACAATTTGACATCAATTGTTATAATATTGGAACCTAAAATAAAAAATGTGGCATTATATTTACATCTTATTAAAATATTAATCTAGTAGATTGTTTTATTATACCAGAGGTGGTAGCTCTTTCTCGACTAACTGTTGTAATTACTGTAAAATGGTTGGTGACGGGTATACCAGTTTACAAAAAATATACCAATGTTAGTCACATACTCTGTTTTCTTAAATATAAGCCATTCGCTTACCAACATGTTTTACCTGTGTTCACAATGTGCTTGATATTCTCTTTGAAGCAAAATAAATCTGTTTCTTTGTGTTTTTGGACTGACGAGACAATGCTGCTTATGTGAGTGTTTGCTCTTTAAAACTTGCTGCTGGTTTGGATCAACAGGCAAGTTTTTGCAGTTTGAGCCATTTATTCCATAAAAATGTGTACAGTAGTCCCTCGCTACTTCGCGGTTTGTTTTTCGCGAACTCACTCTATTGCGGTTTTTCAAAATATGATTGGACAAGACACAGTTGGCTGTTTGAAGGATGAGCCGCAAAATTGGCATGGATTTTTTAAATTTAAAATAAATTACTTTAAATGATTTAGCACCTGCGTGCAGCCCACAGCTGCAGGAGAAGCTTCCTCCTGCAGCTGATCTCTGCTCTGCCGCTGAGAAGTGGGCGTGGCCGAGAGCGCTGGCTGGTGGCAGAGAGCAGAGGAGGCTGAGAGCTGAAATCATGACGTTCTGTGCTCTTTAGAGCGTTTAGAGTTTAGAAACGTTTATAACATTGCAAGAAGGTGTTTTCAACCCGTCCCACATTCTTGCAATATTCTAAACTATTTGTAAATTTATAGATTGTAAGACGTATAGATGGTCATGATTTTATCTCTCAGCCTCCTCTGCTCTCTGCCACCAGCCAGCGCTCTCGGCCAC